CAGTATTTATCCACATGTCAAATATAAAGAAAGTACTAAATATGTCTCTTTAACATATTATGGAAACATTTCGAAAAAATTGCCAACATCTTGTCACAACATAATATTAAAGTTAGTTTTAAATCACAGTCAAAACTTTCACACCTTTTATTTAATGCAAAAGATAAAACTAATAATCTGGAGTTTATAAATTAACATGCCCGGATTGTGATGCCACTTATTTAGGTCAAACTGGTCGTACATTTAAAGTTCGATATAATGAACACTTACGTTCTTTTAGACTCAATAAAACCGACTCAACTTTTTTCAAATCATATCTTAGAATCTGGTCACACTTTTCCAAAATTAGAGAACCTAAATATTTTACATACTCAAGAAAAAAGTTTTAAATTAAATTTATTAGAATCATTGGAAATATTCAAATATAATCACGTTCAACCTAATAACCTTCTTAACGACCAGTTAGACTTATATTATACGCCTCTTTTGATATATTTATGCCATAATCCTGGTTTTACCAGAATTAGATTTGTAATCTCAATTTATGTTAATTAGGGTTTAAGTAGGTATTATTGTCAAATACTTAGAAGGGTCACCTTAGGTATAAATCTGCAAAAATTCCTTTATGTCTTCATTCAGTTTGTGAATCGTTTGAAAATGACACGTTGAGTGTCGAAACTGCAGTAACGCTTGGTTATATTAAAAACAGTGATAAAAAACAAAGAAAAGTGTTTTTATTCTATCAAAAAAAAATTAAAATTTTTATTGCATTTCTGGAAGATTCTCAACGAATTATAATGAAAAAACATAACGTTATGGAAAAAAATCTGTCTGCATGTCTGTAGTATCGCGATAGCAGCCACAGTTTTTGAGATAAAGCTTTCAAATTTGGTACACATGTTCTAAAGGCCAAAGACAATGATAAGTTCAGTGATGAACAAAATTGACCAGCTAAAAGAGGTCCACGGGACCCAAACTTTTTTGTATTTGCCTTTAAAACAAAATATATTCTTGATGAAAGATTATAGATCATGTCTACTATCAAGCCAATAAAACATATTTTCCAAGTACTAAAATAAAGCTAATGTAAACTAATTTTTTTACACATTTGACCTCATAAAATGAGGTTAGGTTAAATTTAACAGTTTGACACTTGAAATGTCTAATTTAGTTACAAAAATGTCAATGTCAATAAGAAGAAGTTATTAAAATATATGACATGAATTATTATTGACAGTATCGATGACGCTGATAATTAATTAATTAAAAATTTTAATGAAACATTTCAAGGTACGCTATTAAAATTTAATTGAGGTAAGTGAAGAATTATATAGAATGATTTTTTTACATTAAGATGATATATACAGGTATAAGAAAGTTATGTGCTGGCCACATTAGATATTTTATTTTTAATGATGTTAATTAATTTAAATGTAATTGTTAATATCTACAAGCAATCTGCATTTTGCCACATTATATAAAAACATAAAATTAGTTCAAATTTAAAGACTGACGAAATCATTAAATTATTCTGACATTTAGCGGACAAATTGTAGGTTATGTTTTTACTTTTTCACCTGTCAACGAGTAATGTTTGTTTATATCTGGACGTCATTTCAACAAACATGAATTTGACTAGGGAGTGCTGATTTGATTCATACGAATTATATCGATGACGTAACGGCATTCTTACTAGATGCCGATAATAGATCACAAACAATTATTAAATATATGGAAAACTCACAATCATTACCAATATGGCGACAAATTCTGCTATTAACGAATCGCCTCGAAAATAATAATCGAGCACATTCGGTCGCTTTGTAGCCAATCAAAACTGAACATACAGGGCCCAGCGTTTTGACATCAAATCACGTGGTACTAAACTTTGTCTTGTTATTTATGGTCGAAGGTCGGAAGCTTAGATTTTTTGGTTATACTTTTGTACATTGTATATCTAAGTAATAACTAATAATAAATAAATAAATAAATAAACAAAATAAATGGAAATAAATTTTATTAATACTGGTACACTTTATAAAAAATATGTACAAAACTCACCTTCTTAAGCAGATTTATGAAGTAGCTTGGTTGTCGTTATCACAAACTGGAGTAATTCTATAATAACTATGTAGCATCAGATATGTTACTACAGTTGTCTCACTAAGCGATGTTCGCTGTGGTGAAAAAATATGTTTGTATTTTGAAAAAGACCGTTCGACATCTACGGAAGTAATACAGGCATAAGCAAAACACTCTTGTGAACTCACTTAACGCAGCTGTAGATGTACCATCACAAATTTGTCTTAATTTGGTAAAATCAGGATCTTTCCGTAATACACTCTTGAATTTTTCAATATCGGGCTTATTTTTTTGCGTCATTTATAGTCTGTAGCTGGTATTTACGTCGTCTACTATTTGCAGCGATTCCACTAACGACAACGAAGTATTTTGCAATTTTCCCAATTGCGTCGTGTAGTCCTCTATAATTGTTATAAATAGTTTTTAAATCTGTTTCAAGGGAAACATCTTGAAAAGCTTGTCTGGCTTTCCCTAATAGTTGCAGCCTCGTTAGGTTGAACTCAGTATCACAGCTTATTTGTTGAAAATATTCAGCATAATAAAAGCTGCTCTTCAACCACCTTCCCCAACGTATAAGAATCGGCTCTGGTGGTTCCGGAATACCAGGACACAGTGTGTGAAATGCTCAAAGCCGTTTAGAGATTTGAAAAATACTTTCTTTGTATTTGCTATTAATGCAGCTACCTCTGGAAAACATTTTCGAATCGTCTGCTACAAGATGGAACGCATGCACTTTACACGTAACATGTAAGAACCTACAATCGTCTCTTTGAAGAAAACGGCCCACCAAATGCATTGTTGCAGCACCGTCGGTCACAAACATCAACACTTGACTTCGTTGACATTTCAAATTTTTCGAAAGTCTCCAACACCACCACACATAATTGTTTCGAAAGTACACGCAGTTAGTCTCTTGTTAGCTAGTAAAAGTGGAAATGTTGATTTAACAGGGTCGAGTACACGTACACGTAACATTTAAAATAGAATTTTTTTTACAATCTGTCGTCCCGTCAACACATAACCACAGCCGTGTATTTTTTAATGCACATTTAATCCTATTTACAATGTCTTCACGAACACTTGGTGCATATCTACGTAACGATGAACGACTTGGTAAATTCACCTGGGGATTGTATTTATTCCAGAACTCCCGAAATGCTGGTGTATCCAATATGCGCAGGGAAACATCACACGCAATCAGCATTAACAGTAAATCAAACATAAACTGAGGTTCCACAGAAGACACGCCATTTTTTTAATTTTTATGCCGGTTACTATTGACATGAATTTTGCAGCCGTCTTTATTCCAGCACATTAAGTCTTGATCACAAACTTTACAAATTATTTTACATCCATCATAGAATAAATCCGAAAATTCACCGATAAATTTATTCACTTTATCAGCGTACGGTCGTTTTCTACTTTTTACGCTCAACATTATTTATTATTTATTAGTACTCTATGCATCGACCGACAGATAACAACTGAAGTGTGTCGTGTCATCGTCATCGTAAACAAGCGGGCGATGGTATTGGTATTGCGCCCAACCTTGAATCTACCATCGCTTGGCCAGGCTTAGAAATAACTATTCAATGTGCAGATACTTGCAGATATGGTATTCTTCCGTAGGTACTGACATAAGTACTAATTCTCAGGAATTGAGAATTGAAGGTATAGAAAAAGAAGGTAATTATCTGGCTTTAAAAACAAAATTTTGTAATAAAAGCGTGTTTTTAAAACTACATATGTTTTAGATTTTTTTGCTGGAATACCTGTATGAATATTGAGTAGGTATAGTTAATACATACCATTAAAATTCAAAATTCATTATTACTAATTATTACTATTATTAAAAATACGAGAGTACTTGTAAAAACTACCTTTTTACTTGTGAAATACAAATGTAAGGTCAATTTTCAGAAAATATGGTAGAAAGCATTTACTATATAGACACATTTTTGAGAGAATACTTTACGCTGCACCATGTATGTTTTCTTAACTTCTCTTATTACATTTAATATAAGAAGTAGGGTTCTCATAAAACGCAACGAACCTAAAGTATGTCTAAAGTTGCTTGAACAAAAGTTATAGTGTATAAATGTAATGAGGAAATAAAAATACTTTTGGTTTATTAAAGATAATAAAGTAAACCTATTCTTTTTTTTATATCATGCCGATGGCAAATTTTGTTCCAGGGATTGACAGTTTTTCATCTTGCAAGAATTTTAAGCTTTATAGGAAAATAAAAATCCCATTAAATAACACCTCTATTAAAATAATATATAAATTAAATTTCTTGCAATTAAAAACGACTCAATATTAGAAATAAAATATTGTCATGACTCATGAGTTAATTAAATTGTGAAAATCAAACATAAGTTTATTTTGTGTTTATTTATTAAATAAAATATTATTAATATGAATATAAACTGTATAATTATTCAAATATCAACTGCATAGAAAACGGTTCGGTAAAATACATAGATGTAATAGATAGGTATTTCTTTTCACTATAAAATAAACCCAGCTACTCCACCTCGGAGGAGAACATATTTAAACATACGATTTCAATTCTGGATACAGCTAACAATCTGTATCCATAATTAAAATCATGTATTTGTATTCATTAATTCAGTAATTTAAAGTAATTTTTAACTTTCTCATCTATCTATACTGACAGAGAAAGTATTGCTATCATGCAGAAAATCAAATTCTCTTTATTTATTAACCAATGCTATATATTTCTTTTAATGTCTTACGTCCTAGCGAATTTTAGCACATTGCTATTCCATCACCCAATCAGGACAGACACACACAACAACCATTACCTCCAACATTTCCCAGATACCACAGCTAAGACTCGAACTCAGGAGAGGTAGGCGGTGACTAACCGTGTTGTCACACAAAACGCTCATACAGGCCCCAGCCAGGATTTGAACCTAGGACCTCTTGGTTTCAAGCCTAACGTATAAACCACTGAGCCGTCAGATTAACAGTCGTATGCTAAATTTCGGAATACTAGTGTTCACCAGATTGGTCAGGCCTTGATGAAATTATAACACATTATAAATAATTTTTGTACCTCTATAAATTGTTGGCATTACAATTTTAATTTCAAATGTCAAGCAGAATATGCTAGGTAGAAATAGTGGGTTACTTTATACGTGACAAGTGTCTGGAAATCCTTTCCTGTTTGTATAAAAACATAATTTATATTTAGATGCAGCTTTACTAGCTAAAAAAGTTCCATTTCAATTTTTACCAGTAAGCTTTCAAATACTCTTTTCAAACTACTCAAGTGTCTGCTTTCATGAATATAAAGCATGACGCTTTGCATATGTCTGAAAAAAATCAATGTTTGACACTAATTATAAAAATTCACTTCAACAGCGTAACTTTGTATTTGATTATAAAAGCACACGGCTTAAAGTCAGTTATTTAATATACAGGGTATTGCGAACGGAATGGGACACAGTTTTCATAAAGATATGGTGTTTCACAAGACACTGACGTGACTTTCATAAAACACCAAAACGCCGTATGCTGCACTCGACGCAGATTTCATTAACCAAGTTGGCATCATCTGGAGATGATTAAAACTTCAGGACTGAGTTTGTGCACTAGATATAATAAAAATAATGCGTCTCTTCCAATGTATTATCTATTTTATAACAGTGGCTCAGAATTCCATCATAGGTAACTGCCAATCATTATACTTAAGTATTTAACAATTGTATTGGTCGTCAATAGGTATTATTGTACTAAAATCAGGTATTTCTTATACGATGTAAATGATAAATGTATTTTTTCCAGTTTAATGTAAGTAGCTTTTGTCAAACCACTCATTAAATTTTTTAGATCTGCCAATGCAGAATGTCGTAATTCTTCCCAGTTATCATCTTGGAAAAAATTGCAGTAACGTGTAAATAGGACACATTTTCTTTTCTACATAAGGTAAGTATATCAATATATATATGGTAAATATAACAGGTGCTAGAACTGTGCCTTGTGGTAGATCATACGTCACAGTTCTTTCCTTACTTGTTACGTCATCGAACATATTTTTCTTTTCGGAAAACTTCATTACCATTTAGAGTTTTTGAAAAACATCACATATAGTAAGTATTCAATTATTGACCCTAATTTATTCGTAGTGAAAAGGAAAAGTTTTAAATGAGTCGAGGCAGTATTGAAAGTATTTATATTTTCAAAATAAAATCTATATGAATAGTTAAATTTTGAAAAGTTATCTCATTACCATCTTCAATAGGATTTTTGTTTGACAGCACAAGAGGAGTGGGGGTTTGCACTCGTTGCCCTCGCCTCTATATCCGCGCTTGTAGAAGAACTTTCAAACGAGGCATCATTCCACCCTTTTGCAATTTTTTAAGTTGTGCTCCGTCGCCATTTTGAAAGATACAATATTTTTTGGCGAAATGTCAAGTCGTTCAGATGGCAAAAAAATCATTTCTATGGTAGCATTCTTGAGTTTACTGTTGTTATTTCATTATTTTTCTGACCTACATACCTATTTTAATATAAAAAGGTCATTGGTGTATATAATATACAGTGTGTTTTTGAAATATACGCATATATTTAAATCGTTAAATTAATCAAAATGTCTAAAGACAATCAACAAAAACAATGTTGATTCCTACCGTATAATATTACCTAAGCTTATGATATTTATCATCGCATTAGTTTGAATCCAGTAACTAATTCGTAATTAATACGAGGCGTTGCCATACGGTTAACTTGTCACTATGTCAGTATTTACTAGACCTCGTAAGTGGTGCGTGCTCTAAGTAAAACCATGTTATTGTTGGAAAATTTTGTGCTCTAGCTTGTTAGTGCATCAACAGTTTGTGTATTTGGATTTTCAATTGTGTTTAACTGTTACAGCTAGCGATTTTTCGGACACTAATTTCACAAACATAGTGCTTTTCTTTTTTACAAACATTATTTTTTAAAAATGCTAAATTTGTTGTGAAAAGTGAAAAGTTTCATTTATTTTTCATGATTTCATGCAGACTTGGCAACACTAGAAATTCAGACATTTCTAGCAATCCTAGCGTTGAGATTGAGGCGAAAAAGGTGAGTACAAAATTATTTAATATTTTTTGAATATTAAGTATGGGGTTTGTTTCACATTTTTATAAGAACTTACAGATTTCAATATATACATGTATTTCAACACCCTGTACACATATAATATATAAACACCACAGAAATTAGACAACTCTCGAATCCAAAGCCGAGGCTGCACGGGCGAGGGTTACACTTATGTAGAAAACGCTGACATACACCGTTCCAACCGACATTACCAGTGCTGGTGGCGAAATTCGAACTCGCAGCTACGATAGAGAGATATTCTAGTTACCGCAATGAGGACGACACGCTTTCTTCGTGGATAAAGAGGGAGGCTATGGCAGCTTATCTGAGAATGCGGGATTCTTGGAGCTGGCAGTGTTCAGGTAAAGCTGAAGGTCACGCAGCAATTGCTGGACTGACGGAAAGGGAAATCCCCATCTTTGCCCTACAGGTGAGAGAAGAGAAAGATTAGCTAAGGTTGGAAAGCAAATATACTCTCACTCTTCCCTGTAGGGAAGAGTGGAGTGAGGGAAGAATTGATTTCCACCCGGACTCTCTGGTGGCCGCTAGACTATCCTCCGGGGCGGGAATATATCTGGAAGGCAAATGAGTACTGGAGAGCTTTTCTCTAGGTTCGTACACCACGGTCCCCCAAGTAGATGTTTACGCCATTCTAGCGGTGGCGGGTAAGGCTGAGGTTAGGAGCGGGATGAAACAGATGACATACATCTGCTCCGATAGCCAGGCTGCTCTAAAAGCGGTGTGCTCCCCCAGGACGAGATCAGTTCTCGTTCAGGAGTGTGGGGACAGCCTATAAGAGCTTGCTAGGCATAAACAAGTGAGACTGGTGTGGGTTCCGGGACATACCGGAGTTTAAGGCAACGAGAAGGCCGATGAATTGGCTAGACTTGGAGCCGAGGAACCCTGCCTCGGACCTGAGCCTATGTTAGGCATTACAAGAAGGCGGGTCACAACGGCTCTCAATGAGTGAGCCCACGAGACACTGAGGAAGCATTGGAGGACCAACAGAACTTGCAGGCAAACTCGAGAATTTGTAACGGATCCGAATAAATCGAGATCGGTCTGGTTACGGCCAGAGTCGGAAGACTGTAAATCCTTTAATCGGAGTTCCGATAGGCCACTGGCTAGGAAGACCCTACATGACCAGGATACGATAGTGGTGAAGAAACATCTTACCACTTTCTGGGACAGTGTGAAGAGTTTGGGCGCATGAGGCATAGTATCTTCGGTTTTGAGGCGATTCTAAGGGAGGAGATGAGCTCCCTCGCAATGAGTGACATCCTGACCTTCATTAGAAGATCGAAAAGATTCGACGAGGGAGCAAGAGAAGTACATGGCTAAGGGGACAGCTGAGGGTTGGTAAAAAGGGCCCAGCTGTGGCCTACTTGCCAGGCGTCAGCCTCCCCCACCATTACCATTACCATTATTCTAGTCACATTTGCCAATTGGTGCTCTAGCAAACTACTTCATCGAACAAGATAAATTAAATTACTTTTTCTTTATAAAAATTGAGACATTTGGCGCCTGATCTTTTACTAGAGAGAAATATAGTCAATCAATAAATTACTAATTTACTTAATTAGTTTTTAAAACATTATGCCCTGTGGCCGCATTATAATACTGTGGAATTAGTAAACAATTAAATTGAAGGCAAAAACTACTAGTTAATATTTATTTGTGACTGTAAAAGTTGAGTCAACGTGTTGATTTTTTATTCAGAGTCGCCCCTTGGTAGAGTGTATTGATTCTCCTAAAACTGTATTCATAAATCAAATCTTACAAATAGGAATAAGAAATCTCATATTTCCGGCTTCTGATTCTCATGAAAAACGTTGCTTACAAATGGGTGTGAAACATTAATCGTATCTGGAGTTAGCTTGTTCGTAAAATAGGAAATTGAAAAACTCTTCGTTTTCTTCGTCGATATTATTAATTTACAGATGCTTATTCAAGTCAATCCTCACGCTACAAATTAGAAAACATTAAATTATCCGCATAAAATCATTTTATTAATAATTTCCCAACATCTAATTTTCTTAATTACAAAGTTAGTTATTATTCATTTATTTTTCCATACACTGTATAACTGGGTTAACTGAAAGGTTTTTTAAAGCGGCGGTTTGGAAATAATATTGGTTTTTAATTTAAAATCAGCAACAAAAAAAGTACCAGAAAACACGACGACTTTAAAACCGTCTCAAGATTTTGTTTTCATAGAAAATTCAGTTAACTTATTCCCTAACAAAACATGTTCATAATGTGAAAATTATATCGATTTTTTTGCGTACTGTTGATTAATTTTTGTATGTTCAGGCCATAAAACAACTCTTTAAATATAAACTACAAAAGTAATACGTAAAAATGTTAATCAGTTTTCTGTTAAAACTATAAAAACCTTAAAATCATAAATAATTGTATTTGGAGGTACTGCGTTCTACAAGAAATTGCCCAGAACTGTATAAATATATCTTTTATTAGTAAAGCTGGCCGAGGTGGCTGGAGTACAGCCACGGTCTTGCGCTGGCGTCACACGTGCCGATTTAGAAGTGATTTACGCTGCAGTCCTATTTGAGAGGTTAATGCGTGAGGTTGTACCTGTAAATTATACATAATGTCAAACGTGCCAAAGGGTAAAAAACGACCGTACGCGGACACAGTGAATAAATTTATCCGTGAATTTCCGGATTTATTCTAAGACGGATGCAAAATAATTTGTAAAGTTTGCAATCAAGACTTAATGTGCTGGCACAAAACAGATTGTCGACGTCATATCAATACCGTGCAACATCAAAATAATAAAAAAAATGGCATGCCTTTGACAACTCAGTTTATGTTTGATTTATTGTTAATGTTAATAGCCTGTAATATTCCGCT